CAGCTGGGACTACAGGCATGCATCGCCAGAGCTGGATAATTTTGGTATTTTTAGTAGAGGTGGCGTTTCACTATGTTGGCCAGGCTGGTCTTGAACTCCTGACCTCAGGTGATCCATGTGCCTTGGCTCCTCAAAGTGCTGGGATTACAGGTGTGAGCCACTGCACCCGAGCTCTTTTTGTTTTAATGCTTATAATCTACTTGGTGAAAAGACTAAAAGCAGAGTTGCTGGTATCTGCATCTTTTTTTTTCTTTTTGAGACGGAGTTTCATTCTTGTTGTTCAGGCTGGGTGCAATGGCACGATCTCGGCTCATGGCAACCTCCGCCTTCTGGGTTCAAGAGATTCTCCTGTCTCAACTTCTTGAGTAGCTGGGATTACAGGCATGTGCTACCACGCCCAGCTAATTTTGCATTTTTAGTAGAGACAGGGTTTCTCCATGCTGGTCAGGCTGGTCTTGAACTCCTGACCTCAGGTGATCCACCTGCCTTGGCCTCCCAAAGTGTTGAGATTACAGGTGTTAGCCACCATGCCTGGCCAGTATCTGCATTTTTAATAAAGTATTGAGAAAATAATGACAATTATGTGAATCCTGAGTATAAACTGTATTTTCAAATAGGATGGTGGCAGAAAAGCAGCAAAAGAGTCCAAGGAAAGGAAGGAAAAAGGAAGGTTGTTCTAATCCAGATTAGAATAGCTCTAGGTTTTTCTCACAAAGAGATAAGTGAGGCTGGGAAAAGAGATAGCACGGCAAAAAGCTACCTTAAGAGAGAAAGTAGGTTATTAGTGGGAATGAACTGGGTGTTTCTGAATAAAGAAGACAGAAGTTGCCTGTTGCAGAATAGCATTAACTAGAGTCATGGGAGGTGAAACTTTCATTCTTCCTGTAGTTCAGTTTTATTTATTTATTTATTTATTTAGTCTTAAGGTTATACCTGACATAGTTCAGTTTTAAAGTTCCCCACCCAGTTTTAACAGCTAAGAATATAACTAAACTGCGAAGACAAGTAACTGCTTTTCTCCTCAGCAAATATTTATTGAGTATTTGCTTTGTTTAGGTGCTATGCAAAACAAAAGGAATACAGTTTCTGTCCTTAAGGCACTTACATTCTCTGGTTGAATTAGTTTTTGTTGATACATTAAATGCCTGAACAACAACTCCGTCACATGTGTCACTTCAAAGGCCAGAGCTTTTCTATAAAATGTAACTTTTGAGGTTGCCTTCATATATAAATATCACATATGGCGGGGCAAGGTGGCTCATGCCTGTAATCTCCGCACTTTGGTTGGCCGAGGCATAAGGATCATCTGAAGTCAGGAGTTCAAGACCAGCCTGGCCAACATGGCAAAACCCCATCTCTACTGAAAATATAAAAATTAGCCAGGCATGGTAGTGGGCACCTGCAATCCCAGCTACTTGGGAGGCTGAGGCAGGAGAATTGCTTGCACCTGGGAGGTGGAGGTTGTAGTGAGCCGAGATCACACCACTGCACTCCAGCCTGAGTGACAGAGGGAGACTCTGACTCAAAAAAAAAATCACGTGTACACTGTGAAAATTTGTAAACATATAAAAAAGCACATTAAAAAAATGTCTTCAGAGGAATATCTAAGTGTCAAAGTCAAGCTCTTATTTCTCCTCATCTTTATCACAGCACTGTTCCCACTCCATTGCCCAGTTAACAGTTTTGTGTGGCTCGCCTCATAGTGTCAATGCATATGGAAATGCTCATCCATCCACCCATCCATCACTGAATTTAATATTGGGGAAAATGCCCATAGCAGATACTTTCAGCCAAAGGATCTAGAATTAGAAATGTTTTCATTTTGGGTATAACACCATGAGATTATAAAACGATTAGCTCTTACTTCAAATATTGCCATGGTAAATTCCTTATCAACAAGTTCGGAAAAAATATAAAAAATTATTCTTATGGAAAATTGAAAATATTCAAAAGAATAACTAAAATTTATGATGCCTGAAGAGAATCATAGCATGTTAGAATAAAAGGAGCCCAGAACTCATTTCATTATAACCACCCACTTAATTTTACAGATAAGAACACACTGAGGATATTTAACGATTTGCCCCAGGTTGCCCAATCAGTTCACATTACTAATTCTACATTAGCATATAGTCTTGATTTGCCTTGTTTACAGTATTACCTCTCAGTTTTCATTAGGACATAGCTGAGCTTGTACCTCTTTTGAAAAAAAATTCCGTTATTATTATTTAAAAAGAACTTTATTGTAGAACGAAATAGAAAATCCAGATAAGCAAAAATAAGAAAGAACTACCCAACTAATATTGAATCTTCTTAATTTTATCACCACTGCATAACCTTATCTGGAGGAACTGGGGAAATCTTATTACTACTCATGTACTGATTATAGCCGGTATTCCAGGAAATCACAATCAGGTTACTAAGCTAAAGCCAGAATTGTAGAAGGTCAGGGTCAGAATGGTGCTGTTGCCTGGAGCCGAGTAGGATCACAGAGTGCTGACAGGCTTTAAGTATTCGGCTGTATCTTGTGGTTTTCATCTGACCTTATTTCTCATTAATGTGTATGTATGCAATCTACTTTCTTCCTTTAGGTTATAATAGACAGAGCATAGTGTCTGCCATAATCTCTGCCCACTTTCTGAGCAGCACTTGCCTAGCCACAGCCCTTAATAAACAGTCCTCAGGGTCCGGTGTGGTGGCTCATGCCTGTAATCCCAGCAATTTGGGAGGCTGAGGCAGGCAGATCACCTGAGGTCAGAAGTTCGAGACCAGCCTGGCCAAGACGGTGAAACCCCGTCTCTACAAAAATACAAAAAAAAAAATTAGCCAGGCATGATGGTGGGTTCCTGTAATCCCAGCTACTCGGAGGGCTGAGGCAGAGGAGAAGGGCTTGAACCTGGGAGGTGGTTGCAGTGAGCGGAGATTGCACCATTGCACTCCAGCCTGGGCGACAGAGTGAGTTCTGTCTCAAAAAACATTAAAAAACAAACAAACAAACAACAAAAAAAACAGTCCTCACCAGCTGTATTTGGAACGGTGTGACCCCTACTCACCATTAAGGGCAGCCATTCTGTAGGCTGGGTAATAACCTTAGGAAGTGTTGCCAAAAAGGGGTAAAGGGTATCACCCAGCAAGAATGAGCTATGCCAATGAGATTCTTAGTCTTGGAAAAAAACAGGGAGAACTACATTATAAGACAGTAGATGCAGAGAGAATGTACATAAACTTGTTTCAAGACAAAGGGCTGTGAGTAAGCCAGTGAGTAAGTGGAAAATATGAGTAAGCAGAAACTTGGAGAGAAACAAAGAGAAGCTGATATATTAGAGGAAAAGATGCATGGACTTGCCGCCTTGTGTCCAGGCTGGTCAACTGAGCCATCCTGTTTTCTCCCACCTGTAAGCTTAGTCTTCATTACTGCTACACGTACCCTTAAAATAATTGTCCCTTTATTTTTTTTGTTGAGGCGGAGTTTCCCTCTGTCGCCCAGGTGGGAGTGCAGTAGTGCCATCATGGTTCCCTGCAACCTCTGCTTCCCAAGCGATTCTCCTGCGTCAGCCTCCCAAGTAGCTGGGACTACAGGCATGTGCCACCATACCTGGGTAATTTTTGTATTTTTAGTAGAGACAGGGTTTCACCATGTTGGCCAGGCTGGTCTTGAACTCCTGACCTCATGTGATCCTCCCGCTTTGGCCTCCCAAAGTGCTGGGATTACAGGCGTGAGCCACCACGCCTGCCCAACTGTCCTTTATTTTCTCTAAACTGCAACTTTCTTTCTTTTTTTTTTTTTTAATAAAGGTGGGGTTTCTCCATGATGGCCAGGCTGGTCTTGAACTCCTGACCTCATGTGATCCACCCACCTCGGCCTCCCAAAGTGCTAGGATTACAGGCATGAGCCACCGCACCTGGCCAATTTTCATTTTTTTTTTAAAAGGGAGGTTGAATTATATAATCACTAAAAAATCTCTTTCAACTCTTTAATCTTGAGTAGCATTATCTGCATGTATAATAAAATGACTGAGATCAGAGGTTCTCAATTTTGACTGATTATTACACTCACCTAGGGAGTTAAAAAAATTAAGATTCTGAGGCTGGGCGTGGTGGCTCACGCCTGTAATCCCAGCACTTTGGGAGGCCCAGGCAGGCGGATCACTAGGTCAGGAGATCAAGACCATCCTGGCCAACACGGTGAAACCCCGTCTCCAAAAAATAAATAAATAGATAAATAAAATAAAAAATAAAAAATTAAGATTCTGAGGACTCACTGAATCAGAGTATCATAGAAAAATCTTGGCCGGGCACGGTGGCTCATGCCTGTAATCCCAGCATTTTGGGAGGCTGAGGTGGGTGGATCATGAGGTCAGGAGATCGAGACCATCCTGGCCAACATGGTGAAATCCCATCTCTAAAAAAAGAAGGAAAAAAAAAAAAAAAAGAAAAATCTTTCTGGTTTTGAGTCTCTGTTTAGCAGGTAAAAATCATGTTTCTTCTGAGAAATGAAAGCATGCTTGAGAAACCATGTGAAGTTAAAATGGAATATTTAATAATGTTCCTCCTATTTTGATTTTCTTGCCTTTTAATCTTGATTTATATTTATTTGCTAAAACATATAATTTTCAATATTTCCTAATTTATTTTCTCTACTTTTAAAAATTGGCACATAACTGTACATATTTAAGGTATTTTATTTGCTTTTAATCCAAATTTTTCTTATTTCTTTTTGTTTAATTTATGTGCACATACATTTTTAGCTAACAATGTATTTCAGTTTATGTTAATTGATTTCATATTTTATGAGGAATTAGAGCAATATATACTATCATCTATAAGACAGGTAATATACACATTCAGAAAATGCATTAATGCAAATCTTTCAAAGTCTTTTCATAAAACATATTTGTGAAATCTGTTCATTTTATAAATATGAAAGGAAAAAATTAAGTAAAATACATTTAGTAAGCATCAGGAATATTAACATTTTAAGTTTTAAAAGCTGTACTTACAAAGAGTGTTGGTTTAGGTATAAATATATTGTCTCCATGCTCTTTAGGCATATTCAAAGTCTTTGATTTCTGATTTTCTGTCACATTTTTTGATTCTGTTTTAGTGAGAAGTAATCTGTTCTCAGAATGTTTGCTACGCATCTTAACGAGAATCTGTTTCATTGCTGCCAATTCCTGTTGATATATGAAAACAGAAGTAGCAAGTGTGATTTTAGCAAGCAGACTAACAATAATTATTACTAAAATATTTATTTTTCTTTAAGTAGAAGAAACATTTGCAACAATTATACTACACACGTAAGTTGTGAAAATAAAATACTAATGTACAATAATCATGCACATGAATCATAATCATTAATACTCATTTAATATAACTGACAATTATAAGATTCTTTTTTTTTTTTTGAGACAGAGTCTCGATCTGTGGCCAGGTTGGAGTGCAGTGGCACAATGACAATTACAACATTCTATAATCTAGTGGTTTCCACATTTTACTGCACACTGGAATCACCTGCAGAGCTTCAAATATTGCCAGTGATGACCGTGTCCCACTCCCAGAGACTGTGAGATAATTGCTGTGGAGTGTGGCCTGGGCTTTGGAATTTATTTATTTTTTGAGATAGGGTCGCCGGGCGTGGTGGCTCATGCCTGTAATCCCAGCACTTTGGGAGGCCGAGGCGGGTGGATCACGAGGTCAAGAGATCGAGACCATCCTGGTCAACATAGTGAAACCCCGTCTCTACTAAAAAAATACAAAACATTAGCTGGGCATGGTGGCGCGTGCCTGTAATCCCAGCTACTCAGGAGGCTGAGGCAGGAGAAGTGCCTGAACCCAGGAGGCGGAGGTTGCGGTGAGCCGAGTTCGCACCATTGCACTCCAGTCTGGGTAACAAGAGCGAAACTCCGTCTCAAAAAAAAAAAAAAGAGAGATAGGGTCTTACTGTCACCCAGACTGGAGGGCAGTGGTGTGGTCTGGGCTCACTGCAGTCTCTACCTCCAGGGCTCAAGCAATCCTCCCGCCTCAGTGCCTAAGTAACTAAGATTACAGGTGCACACCACCACGCCCAGCTAATTTTTGTATTTTAGAATTTCTGAAGATCTCTAGTGATTCTAATAGATAAATTCGGGAACCACTGGCATAGCTACCTTCCACTGTAGATGTTCTACACACATTCACTGAGTAGATTATTTAAGCAATGAACTTTTTCTCTTCTTTCTTTTAAAGTATCCCATTTCCTTTGAAGTCTTATATGCAAATGGTAGAGAAAAAGTGTCCAAATTTTTTTTCCCTGGCTATTAGCAGTTAAACAGTATGTTTAATACAAATTCTGGATTTCTTTAGCTGTATTATCCCTTATCCTTTTACAAATGGTAAGTGGGGTTGGCTTTAGTTGCCTTTTGAACTAAGAATTGTGATGAACTTTTTGAAGTTGAAACAGGTGAAATGATGAACATTTTCACTTGTTCCTTCTCCCAAGTCCATTTGCTTTTTATATCTATAGACAAATCTTTAGCACATAACACTAGTTAGTGGATACTTATGATTAATCACTAAATTGACACATAATATACAAGTATATGGAGAGATGACAGACTAAACTGTCCTTTACCTCTATTTATCAGAACAGAACAGTGGTAGGCTGTGAAACAGGTAATTTCTTCTATTATCTTACTGTATCTTCACGTAAAAACACAAAAGTTATGGTGATAGAACGATGTTCTGCTCTCTTCTAGTCATGTTTATAGACACCAGCTCTGTGTCAGAGCAAGTTCCTACAGGCCTTTCTCCTCTGGCTGTCATTAGTTCTATTTAGAACCATCTAGCTTGAGTGGGTATTTTAAAACAGAGTTGCTGAGTTTAAGCCATATAACCTTAATAGATTTTAGGGCCATGAGAGGAGTTGGAAGAAACAGTGCCAGAATCCTTTCTCCTTTCTGTAGTGGTGGGGCTGGCTTGGCCAATGTACATGAGAATGTGTAAACCTGCAGACATGGCCAATCTGATATATGTCTATTTGGGCTATTTGGGGGCTCTTTTTTGCTTTCAAGATTATGTTGTTTCATTTATATGCTCCTCTATGGTGAAGTATCTAATTACTGATTTGATGTCTAACAGGTATGGTGTTAGGGTGGATTTCAGCTCCTGTTCTACTTACCAAGATTAAGTAGAAGGGAAAGCCTATGAAAAGAAAAACTTTCTAACTGAAAGAACATCTCTTTATTAGCCATCACTTTTGTATCTTTGGCATGAAGATACAATGACTGCAAACAATCCCCTCCAAAACAATCTAGCACTATTCTACAGATAAATAAGGTAAAGGGGAGTGTAGTCTCTCATACTTGCTGAGGGAGGCAGGGAGGAGGAGGGGCCAGGAAAGGAGGGAGAAAAGGAATTGAGAGTGTGGTAAACACAGGGTTTTGGCTCCCAAATGCCCAAGAGGAGGCCATAATTCTGTTTCTCTTGTCTTCCCTCTGTTGTTGGTATAGGAACAGTTATAGGAAACAGATCATCCCTGGTGTTGGGCAGGAGTTTAGAAGCAAATTGATTCATTCAAATAGCAAATTGATTCATTGTGACTGGATCACTTATTCTAATGAATTCACATCTTTGCTTTATCCTAAGATCACACATTTGAGGTGTTGTCACAGTACCACTTTTGTTAATTTGACTGTACAAAATATGTTAGCAGTTTCTGAAATTGAGGCAAAGAACACTTTAAGAGCAGCAAAATTCTGTCAAATTCTTATTAGGATAACACAGCTACAGTGGGTACCAAAATAACATTTAGAACACATTTTCAATTTTATTATATTTGGTTTATATAATGATCCAACTTAATGATAAATTTGCACAAAGAAAATTCCACTTTAATTTTTTTTTAAGACAGGGTCTTGCTCTGTTGCCCATGCTAGAGTGCTGTGGTGTGATCACAGTTCATTCAAGCTATCCTACCCCCTCACTCTCCTGAGTAGCTAGGACCATAAGCGTATGCCCCCATATCCAGCTAATTTTTAATTTTCTGGTAGAGATGAGGTCTTACTATGTTGCCCAGGCTGTTCTCTAACTCCTAACCTCAAGTGATTCTTCAGCCGTGGCCTCCCAAAGTGCTGGGATTACAGGCATGAGCCACTGCACCTGGCCAGGCACATGTAGTGGTACTATTTGAGTATTAGCCAACGACACATCTATTTGTGACACTGTTATTATTTAAGCTTAGGCTGCCTATTCTAGTTCAATGAGCTTTCATTTTATATAAAATATAAGCTTCTGTTACCTTTTAGGATTTTTGCTAGTATCATAAGTGCTTGGGTATGCTTATTTTGCATTCCTTCTACACTGAAGTTGAACAGTTTGTATGTATGTATGTATGTATGTATGTATTTGAGATAGAGTCTCACTCTGCTGCCCGGGCTGGAGCGCAGTGGCACGATCTTGGCTCACTGCAACCTCCACCTCCTGTGTTTAAGTGATTCTCCTGCTGCAGCCTCCCAAGTAGCTTGGATTATAGGCACCCACCACCATGCCTGGCTAATTTTTGTATTTTCAGTAGAGACGGGGTTTTACTGTGTTAGCCAGGTTGGTCTTGAACTCCTGACCTCAAGTGATCTACCTGCCTCAGCCTCCCAAAGTGCTGGGATTACAGGCGTGAGCCATTGTGCCTGGCCAGTTTTAAAAAACATATTTAAGGTTTTTTTTTTTTTTTTTTTTTCAGTTGATTGTCTTGGCCAATTTTTCTACTGAGTGGTCATTTTCTTAAACATTTCAAGGAGCCCTTTATATGTTAGGGAAATTAGCCCTTTGTCTTTAACATAAAAAATATGAGTGTCAATTTTTCTAGTTCATTTATCTTTTATTTGACTTTGTTTACGACCCCCATCCCTTTTCTGTTATGAAGAATTTTTGATTGTGAAGTAGCAGAATATATCAATCTCTTCTTCTATGGTGTTCTCCATGTTTCTTTCTTAAGTTACTTTTACGGTTTTTTTCTTTTTCAAACACATAGATTTTTGATCTGTTTAAAGTTTATTCTGGCTTATGGTGAAATGTATGAATCCAACATCTGTGCCTCAAGATGGCTCTCCTATAACATCAGGTACTGAAGAGACCATTTTTTCCCCCACTGATGCCATCTTTATAATGTACTAAACTGCCGTTAAGTATATTATTTATTTCTGGACTTTAAGACTCTGTTTCCACAGTCTGTCTATTTATACACCAATGTCACACTGTTCTAGTGTTTTACTTTTTTAATGACTGAGGTATTTTTCTGGCTGGATTCTTAGAGATGGGCATGGGATTATGCTGAATGGAAAACAAAATTAGAAAGAACTTATTTATGATATTAAGTCTTCATAATCATGAAAGTTTTCAAATATGTCTTTCACCTACATTTTTGGCACAAATTATCCTATCCTAATTGATGTTATTATTACAATAAAATGATCATGATTCATGAGATCCCAATTCACACACTGACAAAACAAACAGGAAATAAATCAACATAATAAGCAATAATTACAAAACATTTTTGTTACTACAAAGAGAAATCCTTTGGCAAGATGAAATCATGTTGAAGCCCTCCGATTTTGCCTCCAACTTGGTTTGGTTCTTATCCTGCGTCTGGCTTCTGGGTGTTGGCATTATCATCTAATTCAGATTCTGCTCTCATTGTTTGCATTTGAGTTTGGCATCTTAATTCCCTACCTTTTGATTCTACTTTTCTCTTCTATAACTATCATTTTTCTGATTGGCCTGTAGGTTTATCTGTAGCATCATTTCGCTATTTGTAAATATTGTTTACTGCAGAGAATGTGACTACAGAAAGGGAAACTGTGAGGCTCAGAGAAGAACGTTTCAAGTACCATGTTCAACTGGATTCTTTTTCTTACACTGTATCTATTGCTAAAAAATCATGTCAGTGATTTCTTATCTGGACTTCAACTGTCTAACAAATATTTTTTTCCCCTAGTCTCAGTTTTTCTGCCCTTTTCTCATTGATAGAAACAATGTATGCCTTTTTACTTATTACCTAATATTATCTAGCCTCTTAATCATGTTGTTTGCTGAAAATAATTCTGTACTGACTGCTTTTAAGACTGCTACTCTGAAATTTCTTTTTATTGTACACCTTGGCAAATTCCGTTTATTTCTTGCACTTCTCTCTCTCTCCCTT